GCCTGGGTGTAGGTGACCCAGTCCTGGGCGGCCCGCGACTTGGGGCCTGAGGATGAACAGGAGCCCCACGTCAGGCCGGGCGCTGCGGGCAGCAGTGGGCAGTTGGGACGGTGGGACGCGCTCGCACGGCTGTGGGCAGGGGGTCGGGGCATAGAGCTGGGGAGTGAGACCCGGTTGCCACCTGGGGCGGAGCTGCCGCGGGCAGGCAGGTCACCCACGGCTCCCCCCAAGATCCTGGGACCCCGCGGACTCTGGAGACTCCTGGAGGCGGCCGGACGCCCCGTCCCGGCAGTGCCGGCGCTTCGCGCTCCCACACACGCTGCAGAGGATGCGCCTGCTGCGCCACGGGGAGCCCGTGCTGGCCCTGGCGGTCAGCAGCTTCACGAGGCACGCGTTCACCTGCAGCAGGGGCGGCATCAAGGTGTGGAGCCTGGTCGGCCAGGCGGCCGAGGACAGGTTCCCCGACAGCCACCTGCCCGTGCACAAGCAGGTGAGGGCCGCCTGGGTGCTGGGTGCAGGACGGCTGCCTGCAGGGGCTGACGGCTCTGACTGTCCCCAGGCCCCGGACGCCTACCTGTGCACCTGCCTGCTGTCCTCCAACAGCAGGACGCTGCTCACCGGAGGCCGCAACCTGGGCAGCGTCTGTGTGTGGGACCTGGCCGCGCCCTCCCTGCGCGTGAAGGGGGAGCTGCCCTGTCGAGAGGCCGCCTGCCAGGCCCTGGCCGCCAGAGCGGATGAGAGCTTGGTCTTCGCAGGCTTCACGGATGGCTGTGTCAGGATCTGGGACCTGCGGGCCCCGCACGTGGTCAGGTGTGGCCCCAGGGTGGGAAGGGGCCTGCACCCGGCCTCCTGGCCTCTCGGCCTCCCACGGAGCGCCTCCGCCAAGCCCCCCATCTCCGCCATCCCCCATCCCCCAGCCCCCATCCCAGCCCCCATCCCAGCCCCCCGTCCCAGCCCCCCGTCCCAGCCCCCCGTCCCAGCCCCCCGTCCCAGCCCCCCGTCCCAGCCCTGTCTCTTCCTCCTTGAGCTCAGATCTGAGCCAGCCTCTGCCGGGCTACTGGCCTGCAGCCCCACGGCCCTGCATTTCCCTTTTCCCACTGGGACCAGGTGTGACAGTCCAGACTCAAAGGATCCTTTTTTGTGCTGGGGACTGAACCCAGAGGAGCTCTACCACTGAGCCACACCCCAAATTCTTATTTTTTGAGACATCATCTCTCTAAGTTACTTAGGGTCTCACCAAGTTGCTGAGGCTGGCCTCCTATAGTAATCCTCCTGCCTCAGCCTCCCGAGTTGCTAGGATCCCAGGTGTGCGCCCGGCCCTGACTGCAGATAGTCCTAAAGGGTGAAATCAAACAGTGAGCTGACAGTCCTGTGTCACCGGGGTCGTTCCAAGAAACGCTTCCTCAGCAGCGTGGTGGTGGCTTGTGCCAGCCTGGGTGGACCAGGTGCTGCACCAGCCTGGGGCGCGGCCTCTGTGGAGCCTCTCACAGCGCCCACAGGGCGGGCCCACCTGCCTGCGGCCTCTGGGCCAGCACTCACGGCGGCTCCGTGAGGGGTGCCCGCAGCCCGTCAGAACCAGGGTGCACAGACAGGGCAGGGACCACTGTGTCCTGTGTCCCTTCTTCAGCTGCAGTGTGAAGGGGCACTCGGGGGGTGGCACTGCCCGTCAGTGCCCAGAGCCTATTAGATGAGTGACTGAGAAAGGCTGGTAGCATTTCCTGGGACAGGAGCCCGAGTCCCGGCCCCGGCCCCGGCCCCGGCCCCGACCCCAGCCCGACCCTTCCCACCAGGGACGTTTTGGGCCAGCTGAACGGAGCCAAGAGCATCGTGGTCAAAGACAACGACATCTGGACGGGGGGTCTGGACGGCCAGCTGTGCAGGTGGGACCTGAGGATACTGCGGGACCCCACGGTGTTCCTGTTCAAGTCCCAGGTATGCGGCTCCGTGTGGCTCCTGGCAGCGCAGCTGTCCTTGGCTTAGAATGTGGTGGACGCTGGCGGCGGGGGAGGGGGTGCTGTGGTTTAGTTGTGGATGGACCCAGCTCCTTTATTTTACTCACTTATACGTGGTGCTGAGACTCCATCCCAGGGCAAGCGCCCTGCCACTCAGCTCCCGCCCCTGCCCCCACCCCCACCCGGGGAGGGTTCTTGTCCAAGTGATTCCAAGTGCCACGCCAGGACTCAGGTGGTCAGGAGTGTTGTCCAGGTGGGGGACAATCACTCAGGAGGCTGAGGCAGGAGGACAGCAAGTTCAAGGCCAGCCTGGGCAACTCAGTCTCAAAAAGGGCCAGGGGCGCAGCTCTGCGGAGTGCCCACCTCTCAGTGCCCAGGCTGGGCCCGATCCCCAGCACTGCGGGAGGAGGGTGCCCAGCACATGCCCAGCACTCGTGCTCCATGCTGGGCCTGTCCTGCCTCGGAGCCCTGGAGCAGGGCACTGGGTCTGGGGACCCACCCGCAACCTGGGCCCAGCCGAGGGCCCCGCCTGGGCAGCTGTGGGGGCTGGGGCCAGGCTGGACTGACAGGGCTGCCTCCTGCCACCCCCAGATCATGAGCCTGTCCCTCAGACCCCAGGAGGACTGGCTGCTGCTGGGCCTGGCCAACGGCCAGCACTGGCTACAGCACTGCAACCGCAACCAGGTGCGCAGGGTGGGCGGCAAGGACAGCGCCGTCCTCGGACTCAAGTTCTCCCCCTACGGTGAGCAGCCAGCGAGGCGGAGGCCGGCCCCCGGCCTCCCCTGACACAGGCCCCCAGCCAGCCTCCCCGGGTCCGGCCTCCCCCCTCCCCCCCGGGTCCCGCCTCCCCCGTTGCTGTCCCACCGTGACCCAAGCCCCACACCCCTGCTTCCTCCCAGGCCAGTGGTGGGTGAGCGTGGGGATGGACAACCTGGTCAGTGTCCACAGCATGCCCACGGGGGCCCTGGTGTTCCAGGTACGCGGTGAGTGGGGGGGGCCCACTGGGCACCTGGGGGATCCAAGAGGGACGCAGATGACCTGCCAGGCAGGGCCTGGGGCAGTGGGCCCAGCACTCAGCTGGCCGCCCCCCAGGTGCCCGAGCCCTCCTCTGTCCTGTGCTGTGACGTGTCTGCTGACAACCGGCTGGTCGTGGTGGGGTCTGGGACCCAGGCCTCGGTGTACCTCGTCACCTACTGAGGGCCTCGCCGTCCCCGGCGCGGGCTCCTGTTCCCGTTTCTGTTCCCCGTGGTGGGGGTGGTGGTGGTGGTGGTGGTGGTGGTGGGCGGCGGGTGGCGTGGTGGGGCCGGGCCTGGGGCTCGCAGACTCAGGCCCTCACTGCACAGAATAAAGCAGCTGGAAAGACGTTCACGTCCTGTCCCCGGGGAGCGAGGGCTCCCACCCTGTGCCCACAGCGTCACCGAGACCTGGGGGATGTGTGCAGCCCCTGTCCAGGCACCGTGGGGGCAGGACTCTGGTCCCTCCTGCGCTGAGCCAGCCCGGCCTCCCAGCCCCAGGACGGTTTCCAGCTCCTCTGGCAGGTCCCAGGACATGTCCCAGGAGACGAGGCTCTCAAACAGGGCCATCTGCCCCAGGGGATACTAATGTCTCCCTGGGGAGTGTGGCTGTTGTGGCTGTTGGGCTCCACCCTGAGTGCCCGCCCCGGCCCCAGGGACGGCTGGCCCTGGTGGCACTAGTGCACAGGGGCCCTCCCCGGGCTGGGAGGGGCCTGTCTGGGGTCTGCTCCCTCAGCCCGTGACGTCCCCGTGCCCCGCGAGGTCTCCAGCAGCCCCCAGAATGCTCCGGTGCCATCTGCTCCGACCTGTCACCCCTGCTGTCACCTGCTGGGTGCCCAGGATCCTGGGACTCTGGGAGGCGTAGGCACCCCCAAGCAGTCCCTGTGTGGCTTGTGTCACTGGGGCTTGGCCCCGATGTGGCACTGAGCGGGGTGGGGCCCTGAGGAGGGGTGCCCACGGGGAAACAGGTCACCGGAGGCTGGGGTGGGGGTCGGAGTGGCTCCCTTTGGACCTCTGAATTGTTCTCTGGCTCGCCATCCCGCACGTAATGCCACCCTCAGGTGTGTGTCCGCCATGGCCGCCTGCGGTGAGGCGATACAGCCAAGAGGGCCTCAGAGCCAGCACGCTCCACCCGGACTCCCATCTCCAAAACAGCCAAAGAAACCTCCTCTCTTTATAAATGACCCAACCCCAGCCATTTTGTTGTAAGAGAAATGAACTTGCTCTACATGGGCCTTTGTGGGGCACTCAAGGTCCAATGTGTGAAAAGCCTGGTCCCAAGCTGGCCACTGTCGAGAGGTGGTACAGCCTGGCTGGGGCACTGGCCAGCCCTGGAATCCCAGCAACTGGGGAGGCTGAGACAGAAGGATTGCAAGTTTGAGGCCCGCCTGGACAACTTAGCTAGGCACTGTCTCAAAATTAAAGGGCTAAGGGTATAGTGGGCGATGACCCAAGTCTCATCTTCAGCCCCAGGAAAAAAGGGGGGGCGTCACGGGCCTCTTAGGTCATTGGGTGCGTGCCCTTGAAGGGAACATTAGGACCCCAGGCTCCTCCTCTTTGCTTTGTGGTCATCGCGAGCTGAGAGGCTTCAACATGTTCCCGCCACAATGATGTGCTGCCCCCAGCCAAAGGCCATGGGGCCAGCTGACCACAGACTGGAATGCCCAGAACCATGAGCCAGAGTAAACCTTTCCTCTTTGAGTTGATGTCTCTGGTTCTTTGTCGTGGTAAGTCGGGGCTGGTGACACAGGACGGCTGCGCCGTGTTGCTGTGGGCAGGGGCCTGGGGTGGTGACACAACCTCCGGCCACAGCTCTGAAGGCACAGGCAGCTCCTCCCTCTACCTGCGCCAGTGCTGGGGTCCTGACATCCCCTGGGACAGGGACCGGGGAGCAGAGCCACGACAGGAGCTACTTCCTCAGCCTCCCAGCTCCAACCTCTCCGGTCCTCCTGCCACGGCCTCCGCCCACCTGCATGACAGAGCCCGGGGCCAGCAGTGGGCTCCCCGAAGCCCCAGGGAGGAAAGCAGACGAGGCCGAGTGATGAAAACCTTTATTTCCCTGGAGCCCACCCCCACGTCCCCAGCGGGGAAGAAGGTGGCCTGCAGCCAGCGGAGGGGCCCCCAGGTCCTCAGTAGACCACCTCGTACACGGTGGCCTTCTTGTCCCCCGAGCCGGTCACGATGTACTTGTTGTTCCTGGAGATGTCACAGCTCAGCACGGAGGACGACTCCTTGGACTGGAGACGGGAGAAGGGAGAGTGAGGTGGCCCCCGGGGCACCGAGGTCACCCAGGTCACCTGGGGCCAGCAGGCCGGGACATCCTGGCTGGAAGGGGACAGCAGGCTTTCTAGAGAGGTGTGGCCCCCGGCCGAGGATGGCTGGCTCATCGGACGGGCCCCATGCAGCCACCCTGGTCTTCACCCCAATACCGCCACGGGGCTTTGCACGCGGCCTGAGGGAGCCCGGTGTCTGAGGGTGTCTCCAGCCTGGCGGTGCCGTGACTAGCCTGGGGCTCTGCCCTGATGCAGCCCAAGGGGAGAAGCTGCATGCTTTGGGGCTGAGCCCTGCTGGACAGGCATGTGCCCTTGGGAAGGGCAGGGCACAGCCTCTGTGCTCTCCTCAGGAGAAGAGAAACTGCAGCGCTGCCCTCTCCTGGGAAGCTCACAGAGGGTGTGCAGGAGCATGCACACAGCTCAGCAGAGGACCCAGGCTCCCAGCACAGTGACCAAGTCCAAGGGTCAGCAAACTGCCAGGGGCCTGCGGGGAAATACTCTTTAGGCTTTGCCTAAAGTCCAAGTAAGTCTCCGGCAGAATCTCCTATCATTTTTTTATGATCCTTTAAAAATGTAAAAGTCACTCCCCAGCCACCGGGATGAGCATAAGAGACAAGGGTCGGGGTGGTGGGGACTCTGGGGCAGCCTCAGGGTGGACACAGGGAGGCCCGCACACACGCGGGAACATCTCCAAGGAGGGCTCCCACACCTCTGCCTGCGCATGGACATGAGGACACTGCAGGTCGCCCGACAGACCGACGGACATGCTGCAGGGTCACCCCCCAGGAGGTTCCTGGGGTCCAGAAGCCTCAGCTGGGGACCAGAGCCGTGGGGGTGGGGTGGGGACAGTGCCAGCTGGTGCCCGCCCCTGACCGCCGCTGGGCTGGAGTCAGGCTGAGGTCTGGGCACCGCTGAAACTCCAGGGCCGGGCGCCCCGCCCACCGCCCCGCCCACCGCCCCGCCCAGCGCCCCGCCCAGCGCCCCGCCCAGCGCCCCGCCCAGCGCCCCGCCGTGCCTGGAAGATGCTGGCTCCGTAGGGCGTCCTCCAGGCGTTGAGCAGGTTGTCCTTCCCGGTGCTCACGAACCAGCGCCCTGCAGAGGAGGGCAGAGAGCTGAGCGGAGGCCCCGAGAGGGCGGAGCCCCAGGGCTGGAGCAGGGCGTAGGCCTGAGCCCCTCGACTGGGATTGGCAGAGGTCGGGGTGCCGCGATTGAACCCCGGGGCTCCTCACCACCTACATCTCCAGCCACCCCCACTTTTTAAATATTGAGACCAGATCTCCCTAGATGGCCCGAGCTGGCGACCCTCCTGCCTGGCCGGGGGACGCCCTGTGGGGGGCGCACCGCAGGAGGCGAACTTGAGCGACAGCACGCAGCTCTCGTGCAGGTGCAGCTGGTACTTCTCGGGCTTGCGCACGTGCAGGACCTCCACGCCGCTGCTCTCCATGCCCACGGCCAGCCAGTCCTGGTTGGGGCAGTGGCCCAGGGAGAAGATCTGGGGGAGGAGGGAAGAGAGGGACCTCGGGCCTCAGAGGCCAGCGAGCCCCAGGTCCCTGTTAGCCCTGCGGAGAGGAGGAGAGGCAGGGGGCCCCCCCGCAGACCAGGCGGGCCGAGGGGACAGAATCACCCAGACGGCGGAGCACATCCATAGTCTACACCCGGCTCACGACAGGTCTGGGGGCGCCCGGTGGGGGTGGCAGGGGAGGAAGCCAGCCCAGGAGCCTCCCCGTGAGCAGCTCCCCGTGAGCAGAGGCAAGGAGGCTCAAGGTCAGACCAAGCCTGGGAGCCAGGGCTCCTGAGATCCAGCGTGGCCTCTGCCCCCCGCCCCAAGGCGCGCTCCTTGTTTTGACCTGAAAGGATGCGTTCCCACTGCTCTGCACCGAGCCGGTCCTGGGCACCAGGAGCCACGGGCCAGCTCCACCCCAGCCTCCTGCGGCCTTCCAGCAGGAGGGACACAGGAATTACAAGAGAAGACCGAGGGTTTCAGATGCCTGCCTGGCCACACGGTGCCTGACTCTTGGCTCAATCCCGAGACACCTATGTCCTCCTGCTCCCCCTCTCTGCCACCCTTCTGCCTTGACTCCCACAGCACCCTGCACAGGGACTTCTCCAAGCCCAGCCTCTGTCCCACATCAGCCTCCACCTGTCCCCTCAGGTCAGTGGCTCCCAGGATGAGTCCTCAGTGGAGAGGGGAGCTGTCAGGAGCCCTCTGGGGAGTCCAGAGGTTGAAAGCTGGGAAGAGAAACCAGCTATACAGAAAGAGATAAGAAGATGGGAATGGATGGACAAGAACACGTGGGAAGATGATCTGAGGATCTCAGTGGCCCCATAGCTTAATATGAATCAGGCCTTTTGTGTTACCCTGTGTTTGAGAATTAAAGGTGATGGCCTGTGGATTGGTCTGGAGGACAAGAAAGTAGGACTCAGATAATCCCAGCCTGAGCCTGGAATTGGGCCACCCACTGAGGACAGGAAAGGAGGCAAGATTCCTGCAACTCCCACCCCTGCCCCAGACCTCAGCCAGCCCACCTGGGAGCTGAAGTCGTGCTGCTGCAGCTGTCGCCCCTCCCGCAAGTCCCAGCAGCGCACCGTGTTGTCCAGGCCGCCAGTCCACAGCCGAGTGCCGTAGTCAGAGATGTCGATGCAGCTGGCACCATCGGTGTGGCCCTGGAACTGCCTGGAGGGAGCATGGCCCAGGTGTCTGTCCGGGAGCCTGGGTGTCTCCAGCCCACCCACCTGGTGCACAGGGAGGGAAGGCACCCACCTGACCATGGTCTGGTTCTGCAGATCCCACACCACGATGTTGCCGTCGCTGCAGCAGGAGAAGCAGACCTTGGCGTCGGGGCTGACCGCCAGGGCGTAGCAGGCCGGGGCGGAGGAGGTCAGCTCGGCCTTGATGCGGGGGGTGGGCGCCGCCAGGTCCCAAATGGACAAAGTGCTGGCTTCGCCACCCACGATTAGACTCCGGCCGTCAGGCAGCAGCTTGCAGGAACGAATGTAGTTGTCCCGGTTCTGGGGCCAGCAAGGAGGGGAGCGAGAGCTGGTCACCAGCCCGGGCCACACCCCCGGACTCCCTAGCCTCGGGTCAGCCCCGCCCATTGGCCCGCAAGCCCGCCCCTCGGCGCTGCAAGTCCCTCCCTGGTTGGCTTTGAGGTTCCCTCAGGCCCCGCCCCACGGCTCAGGCCCCGCCCCCGGCCGGGGCCGCCCTCACCAGGCAGTCGAGCTGGGCCACCGGCGTCTTGGCGCCCGGCTGGCCCACGTCCCACACCTTCACGCAGCCCTTGCCGCCCGTGTACACGTGCTGCGTGGAGCCGCTGATGGTGACTGCGCACACCACCTCGCCGTGCGCCAGCGTGTGCAGCTGCCGCGCGTGCCGCGGGATGCCCGTGCCCACCAGGGCGTCCGAGGGGAAGGGCACCGGCTGCATCTGCCCGTCCGCAGACACGTGGAAGGAGTAGGCCCTGCGTGGGAGGTGGCCGTGACCACCAGGGACAGGCCCTGTGCTCCTCACTGCCCAGGGAGTCACCTTCTGCCTGGTACCCGCTGATGCATTAGAGAAAGGGGAGGACAGGGTCCTCGTGATGGGGGGATGGCCAGGACAGAAAGGACCTGGCCCGGCCTGCACAGCAAGCCCGCGTGGCTAAACCGGGATCCATGGAAAGGACTGAGCTACCTGGGGCCAGTTAGGCTCAGATGAACCCAACTTGGTCCCTCGGGGGTGCCCCACCACTGAGCTACAGCCCTTGTATCCTTTGAGACAGGGTTTTGCTAGTTGGCTGAGTCTGGCCTCTCACTTGCCATCCTCCTGCCTCGGCCTCCGCACTGGCTGGGATGACAGGCGTGGCGTGATTTCAGGGACTCAGAAACCACGTGACCACCCCGTGCCAGGCGCTCCCTTTGCCCCAGCCATGACAACCACAGATGTCCCCTGGTGTGGCCAAGGGTCCCCTGGGGCAGAACCCCCCTGTAGACCATCACTACTGGGCTGAGCACCTTCCTCCAGGAGCCCTGCTGGGAACTGGTCATCTTCAAGAGACCCCCACAAGGGCACAGGAGACCCCACCCCGGGGACCCCGCCCCGGTACTCACGGCTTTCCCCCAGGGATGCTGGGCAGGGAGGAAGAGATGGACGACCCTCGGAGATGGGGGTGGGACTCAAATGCCATCTGTCAGAGGCCAGAGAAGGTCCCCCAGGGCCAGCGTCTCTGCCCCGCTCTGCCCTCTGCCATGCCCGCCCGCCATGCCCTGTTTATCCACGGACCCTGCATCTGGTTTCAGCCCCGACCCAAGGGCAGAAGTGCCTGCTCCTCCAGAGACGGGGACCTCAGGTGTTTACTTGAGGGGCCCCCAGTCTATCCAGGTACCCTAAAGCCAGGGCTGGAGGGTCCTCAAGTCACCCACCCGCTGCGCAGACCTGCTGTGGCGCAGGGGTCCGCAGACCCTGCAGGGCCGCCAAGGCCTGTTCTTGGGAACCCTGCGGGGCCAGGGCAGCCTCTGAGCGAGTTTGACCCCAGCTGCTGCTCCCCACAGCCTCGGCTCTGAGCTGGGTTGGGCCTGCGGCTCCTCAGACCCTCAGGTCACCCACACCTGCCCAGCCTGGGCCCAGCCCTCTGCCGTGCCTGCCTCTCCTTGAGTAGCTGTGCTGGCCCCGGCCCCGGCCCCAGCCCGGGCCCTGTGCTGCCCACAGACTCACCATGGGGGAGCGTCCGTACACCACGGAGCTGCTGACCTGGGGGGACAGGTGGAGGCTGACGTAGGAGCTGGGCATGGAGAGGTCCCCGTTGAGGGTGCTGTGGGAGCCCAGGCTGAAGGACGTGGTGAAGGGGCTGGACAGGGCCAGGGGGCTCCTCAGGGCTGGGCGAGAAGGACAGGTCTTCAACACCCGCCCGTCCCTCCCCTCCGGCCCTTGGGGTGTCAGGCCCCGGATGTCCGCTGGCCACACCCGGGGACAGCTGCCGACCCCAGCTGCGGCTCTCTGGGTGGCGGGCCCGTGCCTGTCCTTGTGCTGGTGGACGCCTGCTCGTCCTCCAAAACCCAGATGCAGGGCCCACCCACCCCCCCCCCCCCCCCCTCAGTCCTTGTCCCTCCTGTCCTGAGCCCCTCCTCCTACCCTGGCCCTGGCCATTCAGGGCTGGGATCTGGGTTCCGGGTCATCTCCCGTAGCACCCGGAGGCCCTGAGGGCGGGACCCAGGAGCCCCAGAACCAGCCTGGCACTGCCACTCCTCACATCACTGGTAACAAACCGGCTCAGAGAGGTTGGTCACTTGTCCAAGGTCACAGAGCTGGTAACTGCCACCCGGGCCTGGACCCCAGCCTGACTCAAACACTCGTCTTTTGTGCACTAGGCTGGGCCCAGGGCCACTCGGCTCGCTGGGCCTGGGTTTCCCACGTGCCCAGCTGAGGGGGAAGGTGGCCCAGGGTGCAAGAGGGCCACGCGGGCGCTCTGGGGCTGGAACCGTCCCTGGAAACCCCCAGCAGGGGGCCCCGCCGGGCAGGCCCGCGGTGGCACTCACCGATGCTGTCTGTGGACGGCGCGGGCTTGGCGGCCAGTGGGCAGAGGTGACTGGCGGAGCTGGGCCCTGGGGTGGGTGCGTCCTGGGGTGGGGAGGAGTCGCAGGACTTGGAGGCAGGGGTGCCCGCCGGCAGGTCGTTCTGCAGAGAGGAGCAGGGCTGAGTGGCCACTGGCAGCGTGGCCCAGGGATCCCGTCGGGAACGGGACAGGAGGGCACAGGGCCACCAGGGCCGAGGACTGTCTGCACAGGTCCCCAAGGCCCAGCACTGGCTGGGCGGTGGGCACCCGGGGTCGGCCACAGCACACGTGCCTGTCCGCCGAGGCCACCTGCACCTCCATTCTGGGAGCTGGGCGCGAGGGACGGCGTGAGCGGAGCTAGTGAGGGACACGGGTGGATGGGGTGGCGTGGGCAGAGCCACAGCAGGGCACCGGGAGCAGCGGGCGGCCCCAGGGGACAGTTGGGCAGCACCCAGAGGCTGGCGCTTGCCGCGGCCTCCTCTTGCTCACGAGGGCGTCCCCCGCAGCCAGGCCCGGAGGGCTCCGGGGTCTCCTGGGCCTTTGCAGGGGCCAGGCCCCGCGCCTGGGACAGGGTGGGGCCCAGGGACGTGCTGGGGTTGGAAGGACTGTGGGGTGTCCCTGCGGAGCTGAGCTCTGCCGCATCCCCAGAGGTCTCCCTGCAGGGAGAGGGCACTCAACGTGGACAGGCCCCGACCTCTGGCGGTAGCCATGGCAACCCGCTGGGAGGGAGGCCCAGAAACCCACATCTCCCTGGGCAAGTGCAGGCCAGGGGTCTGGGAGGACGTGGGGCGGGGGTGGGCCTTGGACGGCTGCGCAGTCCACCTGGGAGCCCTGTGGGACAGCTGTTCCGTAGGGTTCTCTCCTCAGGGACGCCTCGGGTTGGGGCTGGTGGGCTCTAAAGGCCTCGGAGGACCCTGGCGCTCTGACCAGCCCAGCTAGCCGCCCGTCGTTCGCGGGCCCTTTCCCTGCACCTACCTCTGCGGGAGGGACTGTTTATTGAGGGACACCTGGTTTCCAGGTAAGGTGCAGAGTTGTTCTTGATATTTATTTTCCAAGCTTAGTCACAAAGCTGCTTTTTTTTTAAACATTTACTGAGGCTCAACAAAGTGAATCTTTGCAGGAAAAATTGGGAGATAAAAGAATCATGAGGAAGCGGTTGGTATCAGCCCAGCTCATTTCTCATTGTACCATGTCTGTTTCCAGGCCCCCCGGGACAAATAAACTGAGTTTCAAGCCCCCCCGCCCCCTTACCAAGACAAGCTCCTTGGGTCTAGGGAGCGGTGAGCCAAGACTAGAGGCCAAGGAGGCCGGACTGTCCACAAGATCCCGACGGGCAGGGACACAGATGGGTGCCTTTCCACAGGGGGTGGTAGCTGGACTGGGGGGCTCTGAGGGCTGGTCCTGGGTTGGGGAGAAGCTGAGGTGAAGTGGGAGCCCCCCTACTGCTCTGGGTCCACATGCACCTCGCGAAGCCACCTGTGCCTCGGTGTCACCGAGGTGGGTTGCCACCTGCCTTTCCCACAGACAGAAGGGGCCAGGGAGGTGGCGTCCCTTCCCAAACCACAGGAGCCCGGGCTTGAGGCCACGTGGCTGCCACCCGAGAGCTCTGCCCCATCGCACAGAGGGGACCAGGACCCATGCCCTGCGGCCCCTGTCCTGAAGACCCACCTCGTCCACCACCAGGTTGTAGTCACTCCTGTCCTCGTCGCTCTCCTGGGGGAGGGGGAGTCATTCTGGTCATGCCCCTGCCTCCACGCCCCTGATCTCTCCCAAGATGGCGCGCCAGCTGCGATGGCCCTGTCTAGGCCGCCCGGCCCACGTGCCGGGGCGGAGGGAAGGTGGCAGTGCCGGGAGGGGTCCCGGGGAAGAGACGCAGAGTGACGGTACCAGCCTCTCGGCCTCAGCGCTCTGGTGACGGAGAGGCAGGGTCCCGAGGCCCGAGCCCCCTTCCCGGCTCTCTCCAGGCAGGCCGTGTGGCCAGCTGTCACCCTCCTGACCCCGGCCCTGCCCACCCCAGGCTGCCCACATCTCGGCCCCGCTGCTGACGCAGAAGCCCCGTCCTGGACACTGGGGCGGGCGGCTCAGACACCCGGGGCTGCCGCTGGCGACTTGTGGACACCCAGGAGGACCCCAGGGGCAGCCTGTGGCCTGGAGGCCAGATCTGCTGGCAGCTGGGCCTCCCCTGACCTCCTCCCGTGCCCAGGGCCACCGCGGGCCAGGCGTCACCCTGTGACTGAGTCACTCCCTTGGCTGCCTCCTTCTTTAAATCAAGGAGCCGTAACAGGGACGGGGACATGGGGAGGGGACGTGGGGGAGCAGACCGCGCCCTGCAGAGGGAGGAGGCCGCGGCCCTGGCAGGGAGCTGGAGGCCACAGGTCTGGTCAAGCTCACAGCAGGGTCCCAGGTCCCAGGAGGGCTGCGGAGGCCCCTAGGAGACCTGAGGTCCGAAGGGGACAGTGGTTTCCCAAAGGCGGGGAGGGGACTCTAGGGAGCAGGCGCAGGTGCCAGGGGCAGGGACGCGGCTGCACGGTCCAGAGGCTGTGGAGGTAGAGCCACTGGTCAGGGCTGGCAGCATGGGGGCTGTCCTGACTGGCCCTGTCCGGTGACCATCAGGGAGCTGTGGAGGGCTGTGGAGTGAGGGCAGTGGGCAGAGCTGGGCACCCGGGGGCCTGGCCAGGCACCATCTGGGCAGTGCTGCCCACCCCAGTCCTCTGCCTGCCCCCACTCACATAAGGTCCCGACAGGTCCTTCTCCTCGGTTCTCTGCTTCCCGCTGCCGCCAGGGCCACTGGGTCGCTCCTCCTCCACCAGACTCTCGGGGGGCGAGGGGGACGCCGTCTGTGGGGAGCAGAGAGGGTCAGGGCCTCTCCCGCGTCTCCTGCTGCGGCCGGGGGCCAGCCGTGCTGCTCAAGCTTCCGTCGGAAAGTGGGGCCTCCAGGGCCGAGCTCGTGGGGCGGGCACGGCGTGGGGACGGGGACCCTGGCAGGCCGTGGGTGCCACTGGGGTCACGCTGGGTGGCCCCCAGCAGCTCTCACGTCCCGGGGCCTCCTCATGCACAAGAGCACAGGCGGGGTTGCCTCCGACATCTGCAGCGCGGCCCGTGCCCCGCGAGGGCCTGGCAGGGCCGCCCCGCGAGGGCTGGGCACGGCCGCGCTCTGCCGAAGGTGGCAGCCTGCGAGGGCCTGGACGTGGCTCTGCGGTGGAGCCCCAGCCGCACAACGCAGACAGACCCAGCAGACACCCCGGGACAGAAGGGTGGACACGGGGGTCACTGAAGCGGAAGATGCAGGACGCCATGTCGTGGGCAGCGGGCCCGCGTGGGCCGGGGCCGGTGGCGCCTCGCCAGCCGCGTGACGGTGGCCAAGCCACTGAACCTCCTGAGCCTGTTTCCTCGTCATAGATGGCTTCCCAGGCTTGCTGGGAGGGTGAGGGACGTCACACTGAGGAGCGGGGCACAGCACTGCCGTGAGCCCTCTCGGCTCCCTGGAGACGGCCGCGCTGCCCAGCACACGCTCGCCGACCGCCCTGGGCACCGCGGACATCGCCCGGCCTGTCCTCTGGGGTGGTCCTGGGCCCCGCGGGAGCTGAGCGGCAGCCCTGGCCTCTACCCCTCCAGGCCAGGAGCTCCCCCAGTGGTGACACCACACATGTCCCCAGACGTGGCTCAGGGTCCCCTGGAGCTGGATCACAGGTGAAGACCCGTGGCTTCCTCAGCCTTTGCCCCCAGGACCACCCTGTCCCTGGCTCCCCCAGGTGACTGTGTGAGCACAGGGTAGACAGGTCCACAGCGGCCGGCACCGACTCCAGGGTTAGCTCCGAGGTCCTCATGGCTGGACAGTGCCCACCAAGTTTCCTGTGCAGCGGGACCTCAGCGCGTCCACGCGGGGAAACAAGGCGTTGGCCACGGAGGGCATCGGTCAAGAGGCGCTCACGCTGGATCAGGGCGGGCCGAGTCCCTGCCTGATGTCCCTACAAGGCCACCTGGGGACCGGGGCTGGGCTCAGGGGCGGAGCTCTTGCCTCGCACAGGTGAGGCCCTGGGTTCGATGCTCAGCGCCACGTGAATAAAGCTGCTGTGTCCACCCACAACCGAAACCAACAAGGCCGCGTGGTGGGCCCGGGGTGGCCACGGCCGTCATCCCAGCTACCCAGGAGGCTGGGGCAGGACATCAAGTTCAAGGCTGGCCTGGGCAACTCGGCGAGACCCTGTCTCAAAATAAAACAAAGAGGGAGGCCCTGGGCCCCCAGCTCCTCAGAGCTCCCAGCGTCCGGCCAGGAAGGCTTCCCAGGGACATGCCCTGGGGACTCGCGACGGCCCTGTGAAGACGTCCCCTGTGGCAGCGGGTCGAGGGCCTCCTGAGAGCTCTCCAGGTGCACAGGTGCATGAGTGAGGGGTCAGCCTGCTCCCGCGGACATTGTGCCAAGGACACAAACCAGGAGCAGAACTGCACGGGGGTCTCTCCAGCCCCCGTCTCAGGGCTCTGGGTGCCCACGGCTGCCCACGCCCTGCCCACGGCCTGCCCAGGGCACTGGGGAGCAGAGCCCCAGGACCCAGGAGGCCTCACAGAGGGAAGAAACCCAAAGGTGGGCACTGAAGCTCCCTTGAAGACAGGTTGAGAGACCACCGTCGGGATTCGTCGTGTTAAATAAAATATACGCTGGACGTCCACGTCACCTGTTAACGTCGCCCGTTTAACTCTTTAACGCGCCCACTGGGAGACTAGAGTGGGTGCAAGACCTGGGCACCGTGTCACGTTCCCTGGATCCGACACTCGCCACTTGCACGAGACTGTCCAGGGGACAGTGTGGAGCAGGGAGTCCCCACCCCTCGCAGCCCCATGCTCTGGAACCTCAGAGACCTTTTCCTTTGGTCTGGGGATGGCCCGGGGCTGCGCCACCCCCGGCCACACCCCAGCCCCTTCTATTTGGCTTTGAGACAGAAGCTTGCTAAGGTTCCCCGGGCCAGCCATGGACATGCCCTCCTCCCGCCTCAGCCTCCCGAGTCGGTGGGGTGACAGTGTGGAGGGCTGGCTCACACCGTCTCCATCAGGAGGGGACGGAACAGGACCACGGGCGAGCACTCATCCCTCAGTGACCCTCAGGGTTGCAGAAGCTGGACAGACAGAGGCTGGGGGAGGTGTGCAGTGGGGAGGGGTCTCCTGAGGCCCACAGGCTCAGAGCCCCCCACCTGGGCCTGTGCACACGGCCCGCACCTGTGCCCTGACTTACCCGGCTCGGGGCTCTCTCCACTGGCAGGAGGCAGGAGGCAGAGAGAGAGAGAGAGAGAGAGAGAGAGAGGAGAGAGGGGGGAGAGAGGGAGGGGGAGAGGGAGAGGGGAGAGAGGGAGGAGGGACAGAGAGACAGAGAGGGGGGAGAGAGAGGGAGGAGAGAGGGAGGGGGAGAGGGGGGAGGGGGGGGGGGGGGAGGGAGGAGGGGGAGAGGGGGGGAGAGAGGGAGGGGGAGAGAGAGAGAGAGAGGGAGAGAGAGGGGAAAGAGGAGAGAGGGAGGGACAGAGGGAGGGGGCGTGTCACTGAGGGCTGCTGGACACAGCGCCTTCTCCCAGCCGCAGGCCCTGCAGGAGCGGCTGCCCCTTCCCGGCCCCTTCACAAAGGTGCCCCGAGGAGGGCAGAGGTTGCCCAGGACGTGGCTGGGGACAAGGCCGAACCTCCGCCCGGCCCCTCTCCCCCCGCCCGCCCCCAGGGGCCAGCCTGGGCTGCCCACTCACCTCTGGGCCCCTCGGCCTCTGCGCCGGCTCGATCCTCCTTGGCGGCGGCTGCCAGCTGAGCCTGGGCGGCCAGCGCTCCGGACAGGGCGAGCAGCCCGGTGGCACTGCTGCCCACCAGCCCAGCCGGGCGAGGGGTGAGGGGCACAGGGGGGGCGTGGTGGGACGGCGGCTGGAGCTGCTGCTAGGGGGGACGAAGGATGGGCAGGGCGGGCACCCAGCAGCACCCCGGGGCCCGGGGGACAGCGGGGGCCGGGCTTGAGCAGAGGGGCCACACCGCCTGGGGCTCTGGGCTGGCCAGAGCTAGGGCCAGCTGCCTGCCCCTCCCTCCCGGGGGCAGGGGCAGGGGCAGGGCCTGGGGTCCGCGTCCCCAGGGCAACCCGGCCGGCAGCACTCACCCCGATGAGGCTGTTCAGCTCCCCCACCGTCACCTGCTTGGCCCGCTCCACCGCCTGGAGAACCTGCTGCTGGTGCTGGACACGACAGGACACAGGCACCTGAGCCAGCCCTGCCCCCGCCACTCTCGTCCCTTCTCGCTCGACCCTCCCTCTCTTCTTAAAATGATGAAATAAACACAGAAAAGGACCCCGCGGTCACCCGCTCCGGCTGGACCCCTGGACCCTTCTCGGGGTGGGTCCTGGACTGCAGGGTGCTGAGCAGTGTCCCTGGCCTCCACCCGCCCCAGGCCAGCAGCACCCACTGTGTCAGCCATGCACGTCCCCAGTAGAGAACACTGCTAGGTCAGCTCCAGGTGCCACCCACCAGGCCCAAGGACACACACCTCCAGGGAGCACCTGAGGAGCCCGGCCCGAGCCGCCTGTCCGAGCAGCTAGGACCCCCACTTGACCTCCTCTGTGGCCCTCTGCTCTCCTGCCTCTGGCCACTTTAACTCAATATTCCTTTTTTTCCAGTGCTGGGGACGGAGCCCAGGGCCTCGTGCCTGCTGGGCAAGCGTGCCTCCCGGAGCTGTGTCCACGGAGGCTCACCCAGCACGCACGAGGCCCTGGGCTGCGTCCCCAGCACCACAGAAAAACAAGACATTGACGTAATGAACCGCGTGGCCACACATGGCTGGAGGCCTCTCCGCGGGATGCGCAGTGTGGCCCTTGGCCAAACACAGCTGTCCACTGTGCTCCTGAGGACGGCAGAGGGGCCAGTGAGCACGTTGCTAGGACCACCTCCGAGGGCACAGCGTGTGGGTGTGTCCAGGGCCGCCTCTTCTCGAAGGGGCCAGAGAGTCGACATTTTCTGGCCTTGCAGGCTCTGGGCCTCAGTCACACCTCCTCAGCTCACCACTGCGGTGGGGAAGCTGCTGTGGACACCGTGGACGCCGACAGGTGTGGTGGGTGACAATAAAGCTTTATTCACACAAGCAGACAGAGGGCCGGGTGTGCAGGCGGGTTGCAGCCTGCCAACTCCCGGCCTGGGGGCAGAGTGCTGGGCAGACACCTGTGCCTGTCGCCGCTCCTTCCCAAAGTGCTTTCACCCAAACTTCTTAACGTTCCTTCCCTTCTCACTCAGGGCCCTGTCCCCACCACTTCCTGTCCTGAGTTCCCAGAAACCTCAGGCTCAGAGGAGTTGGGGTCCTACCTGAGTTGAGCCTCCCCCCTCTGTTTGAGCCCCACGGCGACAAGGGCCCTCCCAGTGGTACCCACTCTGAGGTAGAAACTCTCCTCATCACAAAATGCTTCCCCAGAACTAGGAACAGCCTGTGCAAAGGCCCTGGGCCCAGGGGCTGGCGCCCTCACAGGCTGGCTTTGGTGTTAGTCCCAGTGAAGTGCTGGCCCCACCCTACACGTCTGTGCTCCTTCCATCTTCTTAAAATTACTACGTTAAAATACACAAGGAAACCCACCAGCAACCACTTAAGTGCCCAGCCAGGAGCAGGCTGCGCAGCAATCCCTGCCCGGCCCCTGCAGCCCCAGAAGTGTCCGCTCTGCACACGAGGCTCCGCCCACTCCACCCCAGCTCCCATCCGGCCCTGCTCCCCATGCCGCCTCCTGGCCTGGGATCTGCCAACTCCAGGGACCTGCCGTGGGGGGACCCTGCAGCAAGTCCCTTTGTGGGGCTCTCACTGCGCACCACGGAAGTGTCACCCCTTACTAGGCGCTGACTAGGCTCCCGCCTGCACCCACGCTTCGTGACCACACGAGGAGCAAACAAGCACAGAGAGGCACCTGTCTTGCCTAAGGCCACACAGCCAGGATTGGGACTGAGGTAGCCTGGCTGCTGGGCCTGAGGGGTCAGCTCCACACCTGTCACCTCCATCCTCACCCTCAGCCAACAGCTTCCTCCATTCCTGCAGCCCCTGCCCACAGTGGCCGCCTCGACCAGTGCACACAGCAGGACCCGCGGAGGTGCCCTCGCTGCCCACCGGGTGCCTCCCCGTCCCCCTCCCAGGCCCACTCACCTCCTGGGTCAGGAAGGGGATGATCTGGGCACAGATGCCACTGAGCCGCTTCACAATCTCTGCCTGGCAGGAAATGACAAGACCGGCTTGGCCAGCTCCCGAGTGACCAGCACTTGCCAACCCAGAGCAGGAGTTGCGTGCCAGCTGCACTGGGACTCCGAGGCCGGCCAGGCAGGGCCAAGGGGACTCAGTCTGCGGGTCCTGGCTGAGGCCCAGGGTGGCCTGGAGTCCAGCAACAGTCCACCCCCCAGACACCCACCGACTGCAGGGGCCACCCGGCCGCACGTCAGTCAGGCGCTCAGAGGTGTGGGGCTGACCACGGGAGCCCCGGGCCGGGCTCCAGCCTGGTGGGCCTGCGCTGCCCCTGGGCACAGCCCGGCTCTGGGTGTCATGGGCACCGTGCTGCGAGCCCTAGTCTCCGCACCACACACGCAAAGTCAGGGCTCTGCTGCCGTCAGGGTGTGGGCAGGGGCCCGGCCGAGCTGAGGACAGAGGTGGGCTTCGCCTCTGCCGGAGTCACAGGTGCAGTGTCTCTGATGGGTGCCAGTCCCACACCTGCAGAGCGCAGGCCAAGCCCCCAGGGCCTGGCACAACACCATTCCTTCTCCCAGTGAGGGGCCTACTACATGCACCCGTGGATGGCACCAGGCTACCCCACAACAGAACTGGGGTCCAGACATGCCCAGGAAGGCATGCCAGGGCGGGCACCCCAGCACCCCACACTCCGCGCCAGGCTGTACCCTGGACTCTGACATTCTGAGGGACAGAATCTAAGCATCTGTCTGCTCAGAGCCCCAGAACCCCTCCCATCCCCCTAGAAGCCACTGGTCAGTCTCAGGATCTCATGAGTAACCTTGGGCCACTTCAGAACCTTGACACCCCCCTCAGAACCGTGGGTCACATTCAGAAGCTCAGGAAAGATCTCAGAAGCCCACAGACTTGGGGTGAATCTCAGAGCCGTGAGGACAGCCTGGAAAGGTGGGCTCAGTCCAAGTCAGGGCCCGAGAACAATCTCAGAACCTTCTGGCAATACCACGGGGATGGACTCAGGACTTCCAGAATTCCCACAGTGTCTCAGGGTCCATCTCCAAACCTCAGACGTTGGGCAGGAAGGGACCTCCAAGACCATCAGCCAGGGCCTTTCCTGGGACAGAGGCGTCTCCACAGCCTCCTACCCAGATGTCCACCCTCTGCTCCAGGGGACACCCAGCCCCTGTCCTCTGCCCACCTGTCTGCTGGCTGGCCCCAGCTATAGGCTCCTGTCCCCAGAAACTGAAAATCACTTTGCTTCCATGAGACTGTTCCCAAATCAGCCCCCCGGAGCCTCTACAGGATTTCATGATGAGCCTCCCTCCCTGGGTCTGCTTTGCCCCAAACTGCACCCTGGTGTCCCGTGGCTTCCCGACCCCACCCTCCCTCCCGTACACCCACCCCAACCCCGCAGTTACCTGCTTATGCATCTCGATGTTGAGCCCGTAGGACATTTCGTAGTACTGCAAAGGAAAAGCCCACTGGGGACACCTAGGAGCTGGGGGACGCTGGGGTCTCAAGAGCACCCAGGCTAGGGGTCAGTGTGACATGGAGGATCAGTGTGACATGGAGGCCCCAGCCCCATGGGGGCGTCAGAAGGAGAGTCCGGGGGGAATCAGGGGGTCTGCCTGGAGGAGTCCCTTTGCCCTCCCAGGAGAGGAGGGGCAGGTGGGGATACCCAGAGACCCTGGCCCACAGGGCTGCGGCGGGGAAGCCCGGAGGCTGTGGACAGGAAGCCCAGATCTCAGGCGGGTAGGACAGGGCTCAGGGTCAACACCAGCGCCGGGCCCTTCTCCCCGGTCCAGGGACCAGCCCCTCACCATAACATAATGCCGCTGCATCTCGGTCTTCTCACTGGCCAGCTTCTCGCATTCCAGCTTGAGGCTGGGGAGGAGAGGACAAGAGGGTCCCCGCGCCCCACGTGGGCCAGTTTCCAAAGTGCCGAGGTGGGTCCCCCCTCACTTCCTCCCACCCTCCCGCGACCCGGGGGTGTAGACTCTCGCCCCTCGGCGCCCCGCGGTGGCGACCCCCGCCCTGGGCGCCCACCCGCGGCCCTGGGCGCCCACCTGCCCTGGCTGCGGTGCTGGCGCCTCACCTGTGGTACTGCGCCTGCAGGAACTGGAACTCCTCCTTGATGCGGTCGCAGATCTCCAGGATGGAGAACTTGAAGGGCTGGCCGGGCTGCAGCGGGGTCTGGGGGGACGCGCGCGGCTGAGTTCCCGGGCCCGGGGCGGCCGGCGACCCCCCTGCGCCCGGGCCCCCCCGCTCACCGGGTGCCTCCCCTGGGGGTACATCCTGCCGTCCCGAGGCCCGGCGCCGCCCGAGCCGGACAATGTGGGC